TTTTTTTTTAAATGATATTTATTAAAGTTTCACAAAAATACAGAAAACAAAAAAAAAGTATAAATTACAGCAAAAAGTAAAAGTAAGAAAAAACATACAAAATAAAACAATTAAAAACACAATGATGTTCCATAACCTATCTTCCTTACTCTTATTTCCCCAGACCTCCTCATACCTCCCTTCTTTGTATTCCAATTCAGTTTGTTGGTTCAGCAAATCCTTACCATTAATCTTTTACCCAATTGTTAACCTTTTTTTTTCATGTCTCTTAAAGCATTACAGCTAAAAACCTCTTAATTTCTATCCAACATCCTTCTAAAGTTCCTTAATTTTACAATATTTCTGTAAATAGTCCTTAAATTTTTTCCAATCTTCTTTCACTGACTCTTCTCCCTGGTCTCGGATTCTGCCAGTCATTTCCGCCAATTCCATGTAGTCAATCACCTTCATCTGCCATTCTTCCAAAGTGGGTAGATCTTGTGTCTTCCAATACTTTGCAATAAGTATTCTTGCTGCTGTTGTAGCATACATGAAAAAGGTTCTGTCCTTCTTTGGCACCAGTTGGCCGACAATGCCCAAGAGAAAGGCCTCTGGTTTCTTCAGAAAGGTATATTTAAATACCTTTTCAGTTCATTGTATATCATTTCCCAGAAAGCCTTAATCTTTGGGCACGTCCACCAAAGGTGAAAGAATGTACCTTCAGTTTCTTTACATTTCCAACATTTATTATCGGGCAAATGATAAATTTTTGCAAGCTTGACTGGGGTCATGTACCACCTGTATATCATTTTCATAATATTCTCTCTTAAGGCATTACATGCCGTAAACTTCATACCTGTGGTCCATAACTGTTCCCAGTCAGCGAACATAATGTTATGTCCAACATCTTGTGCCCATTTAATCATAGCAGATTTCACCGTTTCATCCTGAGTATTCCATTTCAACAGCAAGTTATACATTCTTGACAAATTTTTAGTTTTGGGTTCTAACAATTCTGTTTCTAATTTTGACTTTTCCACTTGGAAGCCTATTTTCTTATCCAAGTTATATGCCTCCATTATCTGATAGTAGTGGAGCCAATCTCTCACTTTATTTTTTAATTTTTCAAAACTCTGCAGTCTCAATTTATCTCCTTCTTGCTCCAAAATTTCCCAATATGTCGGCCATATGTCCTTTTCAGAGCTTTTGCTTCCATTGATGACAGCCACCTTGGGGTTTTATTTTCCAATAAGTCTTTGTATCTTATCCAGACATTAAACAATGCTTTCCTAACAATATGATTTTTGAATGCTTTGTGTGCTTTGACCTTATCATACCATAAATATGCATGCCATCCAAATACATTGTTAAAACCTTCTAAATCCAAAATGTCTGTGTTTTCAAGAAGTAGCCATTCTTTCAGCCAGCAAAAAGCTGCTGATTCATAATAAAGTTTAAGGTCTGGCAGGGCAAATCCACCTCTTTCCTTAGCGTCAGTTAATATCTTAAATTTTATTCTGGGCTTCTTGCCCTGCCAGACAAATCTAGAAATATCTCTCTGCCACTTCTTGAAACAGTCCATCTTATCTACAATTTGTAATGTCTGAAACAAAAACAACATTCTAGGCAATACATTCATCTTTATCACAGCAATACGGCCCAGCAACGAGAGTTTCAAATTTGACCAAATTTCTAAATCTTTTTTCACTTCTGTCCAACATTTTTCGTAATTATCTTTAAATAAATTCCCATTTTTGGCTGTCATATTAATCCCCAAGTATTTCACTTTCTTTACCACATTCAATCCTGTCTCATTCTGAAACCTCTCTCTTCAATCGGTGTTAAGTTTTCTCTAAAACCTTAGTTTTTAACTTGTTCAATTTAAAACCTGCCACCTGACCAAATTCCTGAATTAATTCTAAAACTCTTTTAGTACTAGATTCTGGCTCCTGTAACGTCAATACTAGGTCATCTGCAAATGCTCTCAATTTGTACTGTTTAGCTCCGACCTGTATGCCCTTAACCAACCGGTCCTTTCTAATCATATTTAGCAAAACCTCCAGGACCGATATAAAAAGCAGTGGGGAAATTGGGCAACCTTGTCGTGTCCCTTTTTCAATTTTAAGTTCTTCCGTCACAACATTATTTACAATTAGTTTAGCCTTTTGTTCTGAATAAATTGCACTTATACCATTCTCAAAACCTTGGCCTACCCCTATACCCTGAAGATTCTTCTTCATAAAATTCCAAGAAATATTGTCAAAGGCTTTCTCCGCGTCTACAAATATCAACACTGCTTTAGTGTTAATATTCACTTCTAATTTTTCCAAGATATCAATTATATTCCTCAGATTATCAGACAAATGTCTTCCTGGGAGAAAGCCCGCTTGGTCTTTATGAATCTCTTCCAACAGCACTTTTTAAAATCTCTTCGCCTAAATATCTGCAAAAATTTTATAAAACTGGAGCAGGAATCTTTCTGGCTGTGGGGGGCGAAAAACGTTCGCAATCTAAAATGCGATTTTTATGGCTTGGTGGAATGCAACCTTTGGATAAAACGTTGCTTTTGCATGGAAGCTGTGTGTTACAGAGGCCCCACTCTTTTTCCTGCCTGACTCCCGTATGCTTGGTGCTTTGTATATTTCACTGTACTACTAATACTATGATAACACTATAATGTAATTGGGATTAAAAAGGTGTTCTATTGAAAAGAGATGTTACTGATAGACAACGTGTTGTTTTCTTTTATAAGCATTTGCTGCTGTTAAAAGGTAAATTATAATATGAAGGGGGTGGTTTGCTGTTATGGAAAATCTAGGTGTGAGGCTGCTCAGTCACCCAGCTGGTCGGGCAGAGCCTGCGGGTCCCTGCGGAATAAAGGAAGGAGTCCAGCCAACCAGAGCAAATAGCTGTAGACCAAAGTTTATTGTGCAATAGGTTCAAAGAGCAAATTTGAACCCCGAGGATGGGGTGACAAAGACTTTTAAAGCTTTCCCACCATATCCCAGAATACAGTTCGTACAGCATCATTGCTACATCACTGACATGTCACAAAAGGGGAGAGGTTAACCTTGGCAAACATGTCCAGACAAGTCCTTGGTACAAGATTAGCATAAGCAGACATGGCAGAGCAAGACTCAGGTGTAAGATTAGCATAGACAAATATGTCTTAAGTACCCACCACCCAAAAGTACAATAGAAGTTCCTTTGCATGTCTGGAGCCTGAGGCGAGTCAGGTGATGAGATTTGGCTTCCTTTGGCTAACAAGGAGCCCAGCAATTGTCACCTCTGAGAACTTCCTGCAGTCCCTTTTCAAGGGGAAAATAGCTTTGGAATGGAGGAAACTGGGAAAGGAGATGATTTTATATTATTTTTAAAGCTAGGTAACTTCCCTGAGCTGTCAAGTTGAAAGGATACATTCAGGCATAATATTTGTAATATTTAACTTTAAAGATGTGGGGCCCCCCCTGTAATTTCCGTAACATTTGCTACAGCCCTACACCTTTCCTATTCACTTAACATGCAGCAACCTTGTTAAACTTGTCTTCAAAATGTTTCTGCCTGTCTTACATTGCATCTGCAACTGACATGCAGGTTTTATTTTGTCCCTTTTTACAGACTGGGCGTGTCTTCAGAGGATGAAACCAAAGCCACTTCTGCTGTTTCTGCACCTCCTTCTGCTGCCCTTTCTCTCCTTCCTATCACTCTAATAAAAACAACCCTTTTATCTCTAAATTTGATCCAAAAGAGCAACCTCGGGACACTGATAGGTTTGCTAGTGACAACAATCCGTTCACTATAAAATGGGGACAGAAATCCATGCAAGATACTGAATGCTTTATAGCTACTTCTTCTGCTTCTGGGAATGAAAATAAACCAATTGCTCCTAAAAGGGAACAAGAATCCCAGATAGAGGATTCTTCAAACTCTGCTAAGTCTCCCCTGCCTGTTCCTGCAACTTCTGTTCTTGAGTGGGAGCCTTCTGCTTTTCAGCTTTTTGATATTGATAATCCTCCCGTGTCTAAAGTGGGAGAGGACTCTGAAAGTTTTAACAGTCCTCCAGCATCTTTCTCTACTTCCTCCTTAGCAGGAAACCTTGATGATTCCAAGCAGGTTCATGTTGTGCCTTCAGAGAAGCCCCAAAAGGAAGGTTTAACTAATCAGATAGATCCTGGCAATTTGATCCCTGGAGATCTGAATGTAAAACCCACCACCCTTTCTGTTATTCCAGAAGTGGGATTGGATGATGAGCAGCTGAGTGATTATCCCCAGGGTACTGAAAAGATTGCGGTTTCTGGAGATTTGTGCAGGAGTGGAGATGGTTCCTCAGAGTTACGGTCCTCCATTGAGGGGGGAGAGCTGACAGCAAATAAAAAGGTGACTGGTGATTGGCGGAAATGACTGGCAGAATCCGAGACCAGGGAGAAGAGTCGGTGGAAGAAGATTGGAAGAAATTTAAAGACTACTTACAGAAATATTGTAAAATTAATGAATGTTAGAATGATGTCGAATTGAAGTTAAGTGGTTTCTAGCTGTAATGGTATAAAAGAATATGGAAAAATTGGTTTTTAATATGTAAAATTTAATGTCATAATATATTAAGATTAAAGATCAGGAGTAAAAAGGAGGGAAAGGAATTGCTGGACTAACAAATTGAACTGGAATACAAAAGAGGGAGGTATGAGGAGGTCCGGGAAACAAGTAAATGTAAGAGAAGTGAGGAAAAGATGGAATTGTTTTTAACTGTTTTCTCTTTTTGTACTTTGTATTTTTCCTTTTTATTGTTAATTTTCTTATTAATGTAATTTTTTTCTTTTGAAATTTTAATAAATATCATTAAAAAAAAAAAAGGTGACTGGTGAGAGGCAGACTGTATCGCTTCTCATGAAGACAAGTGCTCCTGATGATGGATTTGAACTAAACAAACCATTGGTTGCACCTTCAGCACTAGCCCTTGAAAATGCAAGCCATGAGGTAAAGGGATTGGAGCAGAAGAATGCTGACAGCTTAAAAGAAAATAGACAGGGTGATAGTCCTGAGTTCTCTGTTAAGCCTGTTCATCTTTCCCCTCTGCCCAGTTCTTCTCACTCTATTAGTTCTTTCCAATCTGATGCTTCTGGCTGTAATAGAGCAGAACCTACGAAAAAAGCTACAGCAGAGGGCTTGGGTACCAAAGTGGATCCCTCTGGCAAGAAGAAGCTGCTCCAGGCATGGGTTTCACCCTCTGAAACACATCCCAATCAGAATCTGCAGAGTGACGGAACTTATCCTGCTAAGCTCAGGTGAGAGGAATTGCGGGGGGTGGGGGGATTAAAGATAAAGACTCAAGTGCTATACTGTGCATGGCTTTGATTCTTCCCTCCCCTTTTTAATGCAGTAAGGGATTTTGTGTCCTATGGACAGGTGAAAATCTTTCCCTGTTGATCTGTATCTATTTCTTGTAGCAATGTCAATGAAGGAATAAAATTGAGCAAAGGTTTGTTTTGCTTAGGCAGTAATCAGACTCTATTTTCACATTGTTGTGACATGACAATAAAGCTATCATAAACTGGAACCAGCACTTCATATTTTACCTCTAATTTTACTTTATTTTTTAAACCCACTGTCCTGTTAAAATACTAAATATAGTTTTCATGTTCTGCCAAAATAAGTGAAAGCAGCAGTTGGATAAATGCTTAACTTTTTTTAAAAGCGATGTTAGTTGTGATCATAAGTGCAGTGCAATTTACTGTGGCACAGGTTTTGTGTTGCCTAGATTTCTGAAGTGTTCCACGGGTATAATTTAACTAAAAAAGAAATCAGGGCAAACTTTTGCAATAAACTTTGTTGAAAACTCTATTTTTCACACTTGCTAAACATCTGGGTAACTACACAAATATCCAAGGAACCAACCCTATTTTATGGTGGGGGGGAGGGAGAGGAACAGATGTTTTGAACCATCAAGAGTGTCAGACTAGGATTCCACTCAGTGATGGGCCAGTCTCTTATCTCTATGTCTAACCTACTTCACAGGGTGGTAGTGAGGAAAATGGGGGGGGGGATGTATTCAGGGTCCTTGAAGGGATATAAATAAATAGGAAAGTAAAACTTTTCATTTGAGAGCTTCTAAATCAGTCTTGAAGTGTAGAGAGGAGGGCAGAATAAATCTTCTAACAGTAAATATAAAATCTAAACTTGCACTAATAGAGGTACATAGAAGCGGAAAATGTACTTTATTCTTTTTAGAAGCCAAAGCAGAAACATGTGTGCATGCGGTGCTTCATGCAAGACCAAAAGTAAAGCTAAAGGTAAAGGGACCCCGGCTGTTAGGTCCAGTTGTGGCTGACTCTGGGGTTGCTGCGCTCATCTCACTTTATTGGCCAAGGGAGCCGGCGTACAGCTTCCAGGTCATGTGGCCAGCATGACTTAAGCCGCTTCTGGCGAAACCAGAGCAGCACACGGAAACGCCGTTTACCTTCCCGCTGGAGCGGTACCTATTTATCTACTTACACTGTGTGCTTTCGAACTGCTAGGTTGGCAGGAGCAGGGACCGAGCAATGGGAGCTCACCCCGTCGCGGGGATTCGAACCGCCGACCTTCTGATCGGCAAGTCCTAGGTTCTGTGGTTTAACCCACAGCGCCACCCGCATCCCTTCAGACCAAAAGGAGAACTGCACAAAATTGTTCAGGTACAAAGTACTATAGGATTGCCTGAACTAATTGTGTGTGCTTCTTTCAGACGTCATCCTGTGAAACCAATGCATACTACAACGAGCAAATCATCTGCAACAACCAGAGCATAACATCAAAGATCTTGGATAACCAAAATGAAGCCGATATAAAGGTAATATGAGACATACTATATTTTAAAACCTAATTGGGTGGTCTGTGCCTTGAGTTAGGAAGCTTGTAAATTTATTGGCGGGATTAGACAAACTGCAAAGGGGTATAGTCATTTGGAGACAGAAATGTGTTCAAGTTTTCTAGGTGTACGATTCCCCCTGCCCCTGCTATCCTACTGATCTGGGCAATTTTCTGAGCCTTTTACTGACACAAGTTTAGATCTGTGAGTGGGTATGAATTCCCCAGGCTCAAAACTTGCTATCTTCACCAAAGGACTTTGGCCTGAAAGGGATTTTTGTTTTCAGATAAGCAAGGTTTAGTGATTTAGTGCCTCCAACTAATATTGCAAATGATCTGTTTGGTGTTTGA